CGTTCCTGGACAGGCCCTGCAGAGGGAGGCATGCCTCGCTTCTGCACTGGCCTATAAACTCACACCTCACACTCAGTGTATTGAGTTTGGGGGCTCCTCCTCAGATTGAGTTCTGGCGGAAATCTCAACTCAGAACTACTGAGCTGTGTGCTGCAACCTTGGGGCATTGAAACCATATCAGTGGCTTTGTCCTTTGCCTCCTTGGGGTCAGGTACTTGTGCTGAGGGAGCCGAAGTTCCCAGGCTGTGGGGAAAGCATTCCAGCAGGGCCACTGGCAAAACAGTCCGGCCTAGCAGTGGAGACGGTGCTGTGTGAACACACTTGCAGAATCAGCCAGGCAAGAGCCTTGAAGCGATTGTGGACAGAAGGACATGCAGAACAGATGTGTCCAGAGAGCCTTGGGTGATGGGTGCCTATGGCTGCATTTTGTTGCATCTGCTCCACATGTAAAAACCCCTGGTGTCCATGTAGGCTAGAGCTCTATCTTTGTCTATTCTTTGGTCAGATCCCCTTGACAATTGAAAGGACAGCAAGAGTTATGGGATCTCTTGTAGCTAGGATGCCAGAGGTTCATGGTGAGAGTGGAATACCCTGCTGTCACTTCACTCACCCATTCCTTAGGAGGTGTTCAGTACCAGGAACTAATCCTGGTGCTTGGCACACCCATGCAGTTTTCCCAGCTTTCTCTCTATTCAGCCTTAGTATCTGTGTAACCTATCAAATCTCAGTAATTTCTCTCCAAATATCTGTTTGAAGTACCAACAGATAGTGGAGAATTCACTTGTTCATTTACTGGATATTTTGGTCTCTTGTGGTGGGAGAAGTGCTTCCTGGGTGTGTCTACTTGGCCATCTTGTCCCTCCCTCCAGAAACTACTTTCAAAGAGGACCAGATGGTGTATTTAGAAGACAAAGACTTCAAAGAAGCTATAATATATTCATAGGGCTGGGCACAGTGGCTCATGCCTGTAACCCTAACACTTTGAGAGGCCATCAGGGGATGATTGCTTGAGACAGGGAATTTGAGACCAGCCTGGGCAACATAGTGAGAAAACAAAGAACTTTAAAAAACAAGCTTAAGGAAGTAATGGAAGATGATCTCAGTGAAAATGTGTAACAACCTCCAGAAATGCTCTATGCCATAAAAGAAGAAGAAAACCTGGCAGAAAAATTCAAAATTAACTTTATCAGAATGCTCAAAATTAATAAAGTTTTATAGCAATCAGAGAAAATTTATTTAGAAAAAACAGTTAAATCCTGGTTAAATCAACAAGCTTTGTGGCATTTCAAATAGTCCTATTCACATCTGTGTCTCTCCAACAATGCAACAGAATTTAAAACAATCTTGGTAAAAGCCAGCGGCAGCCTGACTGTCGCTAGAAGAAAAAACAAGGTTAGACCTCTTTCAAAGCCATATTGTCATTATTATTGTCATTGTTTGATTTGTCTGTTGATAAATTAAACTTAAATTTAATTAAAGTTTTTAAAGACTTGACTTGTCACTTAACCAATTTGAAAATCCTTTTTCATGGGAACATTCGTCAAAAATCATGTGTAGAAATTGTTTAATATCACAATTACCTGAAGTGGCTACAATGGTTCAAACAGACAAGAAATTGACCAAAAATGGTAAATGGAAAAACCGAGTTATAAATTGTCCATAGTGGGCTTTGAAAGTTGTTATATGTTCCTGGGAATCTAGAAAGCTGTAAGTATGTGTAGGGTTATGTACAAGCTCAGGGCTGTACACATGTGAAGGAAAAACCTGAGAAAACCCTGAGCCCTCACTACTGGCTAACCTTAAAACTCTATGTAATCAGGAACTGGGGGCTAAGGACGAGCTATAAATTGCCTACCAGAACACTGAAGATGTATCCAAATACAAAGAGCCTCTCAGTGAAAACTAGGATACTTACTAGCTTCGTGTTTGTAATGAAATCTCCTTTTTAAATGTTAACTGACCACTAAGATAAATGAGCAGAGACTTCACTGACCACATATGAAAGGAATACAGAGTTTACAGAACTAGATCAGAAAAGTTATTAAGCAAAAGACAATAACGTCAGCAGCAAACAATAGCAACAATGAACACCTTGGCAGGATGGAGTATCTAATTTCCAGAGTTACCACATTATATTATTTTCAGTCTCAAGTTTTCAATAAAAATCATAAGACATGCAAAGAAACAAGAAAATATTGCCTTTAATGGGAAAAATCACTTGACACTGCCCATTAAGAAGCCAGATGTTATATTTACATAGCCTTTAAATTCGCTATTTTAAATCTGTTCAAAGAACTAAAGAAACCATGCCTAAAGAACTAAAGGAAAGGATGACAATTGTGCCTTATTGAATAAAGAACATTATTAAAGAAAGAGAAATTAATTTTAAGAGAAGCTACAGTAATTCTGAGGTCAAAAAGATAACTAGATTTTAAAATATCTCAACAGCCGATGTGAGCAGATGGAAGAAAGAATCAACAAATAGTGAAGACAGTCCACTGAGTTTATGTAGTCTGAGGAACAGAAAGAAAAAAGAATGAAGAAAAATAAACAGAGCCTCAGATAACTGTGAGATACCATAAACAGAACATTCTGTTTGTATGGGAACATACAAATATACATTCTGTTCTGTTTATGGGAACTCCACAAGGAGAGGGAGGAAGGTGGAAGGAATAATAGCTGAATAAATGTCTGAAAATTTTCCAAATTTGATTAAAAATATCAATCTGCACATCAAAGCAGCTCAACAAATGCCAAATAGTGAAAAAAAACGAGAGCTCCAAACCTTGACTCTTAATAATCAAACTGTCAAAGGCCATAGAAAAAAAGAATCTTGAAAGCAATAAGAAAGAAACATGTAAGGGGAATCCTTAATTAAAAATCATCAATTGATTTCTCATCAGAAATTATAGAGGCCAGAAGGCAATGGGATGATACATTCACAGTAACAAAAAAAATCACTGTCACCTGAGAATTATTTTATCCAGCAAAACAATTCTTCAAACATCAAGGAAAAGTAATATATTCCCATACAAACAGAAACTCAGAGAATTTGTCGCTACAAACCTGTTTTGCAAGAAATACTAAAGGGAGTCCTACAAGAAATAATAAAGTGAGTCCTTCAAGCTGAAATTAAAGGACTCTAGACAGCCTCCCAAATCCATATGAAGACATAAAGATCACCAGTAAAGATAACTATACAAGGAAATATTAATTAAACTTCTGGGGTAAACCTAAGGGGAAAAATTCAAAAAACATAGTAATAAGTAATAAAAATGAAATTACAGTGCTACTGTAGAAAATATTTCACACAGAAGAAGGCAGGAATGGAGGAACAGAAGAACAAAAAACATAATACATAGAAACAAATATCAAAATAACTTATGTAAATTCTAACCTATAAATTACATTAAATGTAGGTGTATTAAATATTTCAACTAAAAGCAGAGATTGGCAGAATGTAAAAAAAATACAACTATTTGTGGTTTATAAGAGTCAAAATTTAGATTCAAATAAGCAAATAAGTCAAAAATGAAAGGACAAAAAATTTTATATCATACAATTAGTAACCAGAGAGAGTTTATATTAATACAAGACAAAATACACATGAGTGTAAATATTTCTGACCTTGGCTTAGTCAGTAGTTTTTTTTTTTTTTGCATATAATACCAAAAGCACAAGCAGGAAAAAAGATGAATTAGATTTTTTCTGTATTAAATACTTATGCTGTGTATTATACTCTCAAGATAGTGAAAAGACAACTTATGTAATTAATGAAAATATTCGTAAATCTTGTCTCTGATAAGGGACTTGTATGAGAACATGTAAAAATTTCTTGCAATTCAACTCTAAAAAGACAACTCACTTAAAAAATAGAAAAAGTAATTGAATGGACATTTCTTCAAATAAGATTTATAAAAGGCTAATAAGCACACAAAAAATTGCTAAACAACATTAGTTATTAGGGAAATACAAATCAATACTCAAAATGGATATCACTTCCCACCACCTAGGACATTCATAATCCAAGAGATGAATAATAACAAATGGATGGGGAGAAAGTGGAACCCTCACACACTACTGGTGGGAATGTATTATGGTGCTTTTGCTTTGGAAAACAGTATGGCAATCCCTTAAAAGTAGAGTTACCGTGTGACCTATCAGTCCCGCTCTTAGGCATATACTCAAAAGAAATGAATACATGTACCTTACACACTTGTACACAGATAATCACAGCAGCATTATTCACAATAGCCAAAAATTGAAAACAACCCAAATGTCCAATTGATCAATCGATAAATAAAATGTATATCCATACGATTGGATATATTTAGCAAAAAAAAGGAACAAAGTCTTGACACATGCTAAATCATGGTTGCATCCTGCAAACATTATGCAAATCGAAAAAAATCCAGACACCAAGGACCACATATTTTATTATTTCATTTATATGAAATATCCAAAATAGGCTTCTTATGAACATATTCATAATTACTTTCTATTTGGTTTTGCTAAATGGATGGAATGTAATCTGTGGTCATATTGCTACCATGAGGGTAGACTTTACCTGACTATGATGTCTATACAGGAAAGAGCAGAGCCAAGATATAAAGACAGATTTATAAAGGCATATTTTGAATACAAAACTCCATCTGGATTCCAAGTAATCCCACTTAAGTGAATTTAAAAAGTCCCAGTTGACGTTGGATCTCTTGCCACATGCAATAGAAAGAGTCCTAACTAATGTAGTTCTATAAAAACAATTATTTGTTTTTCGGTTCCAAGGTAATTAAGATATTGTAAATTCAGGAAAAATGTGCTTCAAAAATTTTTTGATCACAATAGTAATCTCTTTTTGTGAATATTCATTCTTCAATAGAATAATTGGCCAGTAGAAAAGGCCAAACCCTGTCTAGTATGCATATATCAGTTAAACATGCAATAACTTGGATTATATGATCATAATTTTCATATTCAAATTTCATTTAAAAATACATTACTTTTTAGTGGTAATAGTAGTCCTTCCACCAGTGGAGGGTTGGTTATGAGATGAGTATATTTCTTGCCGCAACTTTGAGAGTTCCTTACAAATAAAAGATAATATAATCATTTGAAGGAAAGTAGAATGAGATAAGAAGTATATTTAATCATTTAGCAAGGTTACTAACAATAACTACAACCCCCCTCCTTTTTACTCCTTTTTAGCCTTGAGGTAATAATGTTCTAATCCCACTTGTTGAATATCTAGTGTTGCTTTGCAATACCTAATAAGTTATATTACATGCCTGCGCAGGAACCTGCAACTGATACAGGATATCTAAATTTGGAGGATAACTTGAGATTGAATGGGCATGGTTGTCAAGATGAGGATGTGAAGTTTTTGCTCTGAAAAGCCTTAAAACTATATCCATAGAAGAAAAGTATTGAAACTTCAGTATATAAGCATATATAGTTTCCTAACAAAGAGTTTATCAATGAATGTTACTACAGGCACCATTTGCTCCGTAATAGCAATACAATATTACCCATAATTTTTGATAATTTCTTCAGTACCTATTGAATGTCATATCATGGGCTACAGGTTACAGATACAAGGAGGAATATAACACATGCTTTAATGAAGCATCTCATAACATAGTAAGGAGGTCACTGTCTACTGGGAATTTCACTGCTAATGAAATATAAAATCAATGTCTTAAAAATATTAAATGTACAACAGCACTTACTTTTTGCTTCAATTCTTTCATTTGAATTGTTTATCCTGAAAAATGTATATTCTACTTCCTCATTTGCACATATTTTATTTTATGAAGTAAAGTGAGTCCTGCATATGTGTCCTTTTCTAGTCCATGGGAAGTATTTATCCCACAGTTCTAAGTTGTATTACTTTTCTCCACCCCCACCCCTTCCTTTTATACCTCTGACTGACGCTTTATAAGAGAATCCTTCTCTTCCAGCAAGCTTGTCAGTTCATGAAGCTTAAATTGGAAGTCACTACAACTTCCGTCTCTCTTTGAAACATCTTTCTGGTACTGGCTTAATTGGGACTAAGGATTTAAAAAGAATAAGTATTATTACAATCTTCATTTACAAAACATGTAACTGAGTTCCAGGGAGGTTAAGTGACACAAACTCACACAGCTAGTTATGAAATGAAAGTAAAATACCAATAGTCATAAACTTTTACAGAATTCCATGAGTATGTAATATGAATTGAAATGCCAATTACAAATTTCTCCTTTTTTTTAAGGTGTCTTTGCTATGTAGTACTAAACATTATCTATGTAACTGTCTTAGGCAGCAAAATTTAAAGTAAAGCTAAGAAAACAGGCACTTTAGATTCCTTAAATTGCTAATTAAGAAAATTACAATACCAGTAACTACTATTACACTCTGATTTTCAGTTTACAAAATATTTCTCCTGCATGAATTATCTCAGTTCTCACAGCAGTCCTGTGAAATAAGCATTATTATGATTATGATTATGATTATGATTATTTTGACACGGAGTCCTGCTCTGTTTCCCAGGCTGGAGTGCAGGAGTGGCACGATCTCGGCTCACTGCAACCTCTGCCTCCTGGATTCAGGTGATTCTTCTGCCTCAGCCTCCTGAGTAGCTGGGACTACAGGTGCATGCCCCCACGCCTGACTAATTTGTGTATGTGTATGTTTGTAGTACAGACAGTGTTTCACCATATTGGCCAGGCTGATCTATCTTGAACTGCTGACCTCTTGATTTACCTGCCTTGGCCTCCCAAAGTGCTGGGATTACAGGCGTGAACCACCACGCCCAGACATAAGCATTATTATAATCTTCATTTACAAAACAGATAATGGGCTCCAGAGAGGTTAAATGACACCTCCACACAGTAACATAGCTGAAACTCTATGATAGGTCTTCTACTACAAATCTTGTCAATTTCCCTCTTTAGCTCATATGTATCTAGGTTAGGTTGAAGTGCTATCAGTAATGTTAGGATGGAAAAGAAATCAGTGAAAGAAATCTGCTAGAAGTATTGGTAGGTTTTTAAAACAAATTATATTTTGTTTCATTTTGATTTTTGGTAAAAATTATACAGTGATATTTGGAGAGACAAATATGTGATTATTTTGTTTATTAAAATATTTAAGTATATTTTACTACACTTAGGAATCAGGAAATTAAGTATTAGATTAAGTAAATTCAACCTAGAATTACAAGATAAGGCAATATATACTTACAAATATCATCTTAATTTTGATGTCAATTATAGCTACATAAAACTTAACATTGTTTTTATCCTCAGGCTTGACAAAGTCCTTGCTATTTATCATCCCTCAAAATTAAGTGAGAATTTTTACAAATCTAGCTGTGGCTCTACTGGGTAATCTCAAATACTGCTTTTGCCTGCATAAGCATGCTTCAGGCAAAATCATAAAGAGTCCTCCACCTATCCCAAAAAATAAATTAAGAGAAACCAAAACACTGAAATGAATTTCTTCTTTTATTTTCCTAGAAGAAATTAAGTTGAACTAGAAAATAATTTAACAATCATATTTTAGATATAGTAATGTGTATGTAAAACAAAAGGATCCATGACGTATTTCTAAAACTCTACCTACAGCTAATTTTTTCTTATAGCTCTAAACTTGAAGCCATTATTATGTTGCTAGAAAGTTTGTGTTGACATGTGTATTTATGCAATGTATTAAGATCAACATACCCTCAGTCTGCAGATCTCTCTATCTTTCTCCATTCTCAAGTTTTTTACCATCTCTGTGTAATGGTTTCCAATCTCGTCCATTTTAGCCTGCAGCATTGGCCCTGTGCAAGTCTCAGAAACCTATAGAAGGCAAAATAACTATCTGTAATTGGATTGTTTTGAAGAAAATACATATTATGTTACAAGGATTATTATTAGACGAAAATTACATGGTTAACACATTGAAATAATGAAAGCAATTTTCAGGAACTGCATTATAAAGCTCAAATGTCAGTGATTAAGATCTAATAATATGTGAGGGAAAGCAGTCCATATGTTTTCTCAAGATGAATAGAATATATATATTTACTATTTATATTGCCAACGCTAGGATTGCAATGATGTAACTAAGGCAGCACTGTGTTTTTAAAAAGAAGTTTTAATACCTGCATTCTAAGGTTTTGATTCTCTTGCTCTAAATTACATTTACAATATTCCAGTTCTTTTAGTCTGTATTCCATGTCTGAAAGTGTATGTCGAAGAGACAGATTGTTTTCTTCCAGTGCCTGGCATTTTGAACTTGAGTCTTGAAGTCCTTGCTGTAAAGAAGACACAAGTACATAAGACAAATGCATTTTGTTTTTGGTGAGGGAGTGGTCTTTTTATTGATTCATTTAATTGAATCAAGTAATTATTTTCCCATGCCCAATTTTCTTATACTCTTGGTCTTACATGGTACATTAAGTCAGCCGTGCAAGATATTATAGTGTCACCTCTAGTCTCACTTTCCTATTTTGAGTGAGAGGGAATCATGACTAGATGAATTTATAATGTCTCATTTTAACAATCAGATGCTTGCTACCTTGTGACAATATTGTACTCTGCTTTCTAGTAGGCACAAAAATGACCATATGACTGATTATTTATGTGACAACTAGTAACTGAGGAAGAATTTGGGACAGTCATAGAAGTAAAGATCAGGAACAAGTAAACCTTAGAGACTACTTACAATTTCCTAGGAATTCTCTCTGCTCAGACATTCAGAGAACTCATCTAGAGTTTTTTCATTCATTTATTTATTGCATAAACATGTGTTAAGGTCTACAACAGCTTTTTTTCATTGACATGTTAGTAGATTAAATAAATGCATGAACCTAGATTTTTAGTATTTATACAACTCTGGTCACCCAACAACATAAATAATTGTAAGCCCTATATACTTTATATCTAAAATACATAAGATTACCTGTTTTTCTGAGAGGGCTTTCAGCCATTGGAAATGCTCAAAACCTCTCAATTCTCATATGAACAAATTTTTCCATCATATTTTAATTCTATTTTGATTATATATCATATCCCCAATGTGCCAGTAATTGTGTATATAAAAAGCTTAATCTAGTTTAACATCAATAAAAGCATCAATTTACCTGCTGCTGCTGATTATTTGCTCTCACTGATGCCAAGAGTTCTTCGTACTCTTTTATTTGAGTATCTTTGAATGATAAATCTTTCTCAAGTCTCATCTTGTCATTTTCCAGAGACTAGAAGCATAAATTATTTATTATGATTCAGAATTACAGAAACTTGTCAACAGTCACATGATACAAAGACTTGTTTACCTTGGAAGATTTAAATAAGCACTTGTTTCATTTGTTCTTGCTTAATAAGGCAAAATTCTTAAAAGTTAAGACAATATGGGATACGAAATGATTGAAACTTCTAAAACCTTCATTGAAAGAGACATTTTGATGGACTGACTAACCGTACATGAAATGAAACAGAACCTTCTGAAATCTTTTAATGTTTTCTTCCAATCTACAAAGAGTCCTTGTTAATCCCAGCAGGTGGTAAATTTTTAAATTAGAGTCTAAATATGTTCATTATAACCCAGAAACAGCAAAACTACTCCAAAGTCCTCAAAGCATTATTCAAAGTGTGGAAAGCATTCTGAATGTATCTAGCTGATGGCACCAAGAACACCAATTAAAATAGAAAACAGAAAAAAAAATTTTTAGAGAAAAATGTTTTCAAGTTATTGTATTTGAATGGAAATTCAGAGTATGCTTTAGAAATATGAAAAAGGGGGAATTTACCTTCAATGAGTCAGATTATTTTAATTTTGCAAACTACTCTCTGGCTTTAATCATTAAATTGCTTTAGTAGTAAACTAAATAATACGTGCACATCCAACATTCTTTCATTTATACTTTAGATACCTCTTTTCTCCTCTTTCAATGCCAATTAACTGTTTGAAGAAAATAATTGAGCTTTGTCTGAGTAAGCATAATATTGTGCTGTATTAAATTTTAAAAAGGTATACTGGACGTCTTTATTTCTGTATCAGGAAGCTAGGAATTAGAAAGGCTTTGGAAAATATAAAAATAAATCTTACTGTCAAGTCATTTTGAAGATGTCCAAGCTCCTCCCGTATGTTGCTAAATGTGGACAGCACTAACCGGAGTGACTTATCAGACATACCCCTCATCTGGAGGAAGAAAGGATTAATGGTTTATTTTTACTAACATTTGAAAATAGGCAATATAAGTGAAAGTTATGTTGTTTTTTTGTTCCTACTAGCAAACTTATTAATAATTTTACTTTGATATGGCAAATTAGAATAGTGATACAAAGCATTTTGTCAATAATGTATTTAAGTAATCCAAGTAACAGTCCGGAAGATAACATAGCTACGTATTTATAACAAGTATTTATTATTTTTGCCATGGCAAAGTACCATCTTTGTCACAAGGTAGAATTCTATCAGCAAAATTTTAATTTTACATTATTCTTTATTTAAAAGATTAGAAGAGATAAGACAGTTAATCATCAAATAATAAAATGAATCTCCCTAAGTGTATTGCCAACTTCCTGAATTTTGCCTGAGGTGAGAAGAATATAATACGAATTAAGTTTAACTTTAACGTATAGAGCCATCTCAATTTTTAAAAAAACTGGAATTCACCCTGTCACCTAGGTTGGAGTGTAGTAGCATGATCTCATTTCACTGCAATCTCCGCCTCCTGGGTTCAAGCAATTCTCCCACCTCAGCCTACTGAGTAGCTGGAACTACAGGCGAACCCAACATACTCAGTGAATTTTTATTTTTTGAGTAGAGAATGAGTTTCACTCTGTTGGCCAGGCTGGTCTCGAACTCCTGACCTCAAGTGATCCACCAGCCTTGGCCTCCTAAAGTGCTGGGATTACAGTTATAAGCCACAGCAACTGGCTTATCTCAAATTTTAAAGAGAGTGGAAACTCTTTTACTAGATTAGTCTCATTTCTTTAAAGAAAAATGATTTAAAAAACAGACAACTTCAACTTCTGCAAAGATGGAGTAGAAATACTTTCCACACCTAAGCAGACGTTTGTTTAAGGTGTAACTTCGTAACTTCATTCTCTGATTGGTCGCTTTCTGAAACCAATCCGACTGATAACGGGCCACTACTTCATTTACATAGAATGTATACTAAGTTACCAATGGGAAACCTCTAGAGGGCTTTTAAACCCCAGAAAATTATATAACTGTGCTCTTGAGCCAATTGCTCAGCTCACTCCCACCCTGTGGAGTGTGCTTTCATTTTCAATAAATCTCTGCTTTTGTTGCTTCACCAAAAAAAATAAAAAAGAAGAAAAAATACTTTTCCGTAGCCTTCCTGCTAAGTATAACTAGAAGTCCTGGACATTATATATAAAACAAATATAAAAAGACTCAGATTGGTGAAAAGAGAGACGATTGATTAGGAATCTTGGGACCTGAGAAATGACACAGCAGGGAGTTCCTGGGTTTTCTTTTTGCTTCATATATTAGATCAATGTTGGGGAAGCTGGTCATCTAGTTACTTTAATGAACAACAAAAGTCCTGAGAAAAGCCTTTTTTCTCTAGCCAAAGGACCATGAAAGGGTCAGCCTAGCAGGACAGAAAACTTTTAGGTAGTAACTAATGTACCTTAACCAACACCGCAGAAGAAACTGCAACTCTACTTCCACGCAGACGATCAAAGGCCAAGAAGAGATTTTTTTTTTTTTTTTTTTTTTTTGAGAAAGAGTCTCACTGTGTCGCCAGGCGCCAGGCTGGAGTGCAGTGGCACAATCTCGGCTCACTGCAACCCTGCCTCAGCCTCCCGAGTAGCTGGGACTACAGGTGCACGCCACCATGCCCAGCTAATTTTTGTATTTTTAGTAGAGACGGAATTTCTCCATGTTGGCCAGGATGGTCTCGATCTCCTGACCTCATGATCCTCCTGCCTCAGCCTCACAAAGTGCTGGGATTACAGGCTTGAGCCACGTGCCTGGCCAAGAAGAGATCTTAGACTTCACCCTTGTCAGGCTCTATGATGGTACACAACGCATTCACTAGGACAGTGTCAGAAAAGGCAGAGTGAAGAGATGGGGCTTTCATTCCCACTGGTCAAAAATGAAATGCCAAACATTGTGATATCAATTGAGACTGGGAAGGGAGCTTGGGCTTTCACCCTAGGACATCAAGAAAAGCTGAGTGGGGGAACCTCTACTTCCACCACCAGCTGGCCGTAATAGGTAGTGCACACACTTTCTCTGATATTTGAATATCTGAATGAGACCCAGAGACTGACAACATAAAAATGGCCAGGTCTCACATCCAAGTACTAGCCAGGCTCAATCCTGTTTAGCTTCTAAGATCAAAGGAGATCAGGCATGTTCAGGGTCAATTGAAAATCACTGATAATTCCAAGAACAACAAAAATCTCAGCTCAGTAAGAAAAAGCACATAATTGATGACAACATCAAGATAATAGAAAAGTTAGAATTACCTGATAAAGCATGCAAAACAACCATCATAAAATACTTCAACAAGAAGTTGCAAAGAGACTGTAAAAATACATTGTCTCGACAACAAAATAGAAAGTCTCAGCAAATAAATAGAAGACATAAAAAATGCCTAAATAGAAATATTAGAACTGAAAAGGTCACTAACCAGACAAGTGGCAGGGCACAGAGGCTCATGCCTGTAATCCCAACACTTTGGGAGGCCAAGGTGGGCACATCACCTGAGGTTGGGAGTCCGAGACCAGCTTGACCAACATGAAGAAACCCCATCTCTACTAAAAATACAAAAATTAGCCCAGCCTAGTGGCACATGCCTGTAATCCCAGCTACTCAAGAGGCTGAGGCAGGAGAATCGCTTAAATCTAGGAGGCTGAGGTTGCAGAGAGCCAAGATTGCGCCATTGCATTCTAGCCTGGGCAACAAGAGTGAAACTGCATCTCAAAAAAAAAAAAAAAAAAAAAAAAAAAAAAAAAAAAAATCTAGACAAGCAAACAAAAACCAAACCAAAGCAACAAAACTCTCAATGGTAAGCTAAAACGCAGAATGCAGGAACAGAGAAAGAATTAGTGAACTTAAAGATAGAACAAGATAAAGTATATAATCTGAATATTAGAAACAAATAAATTAGAAGAAAATTAAACAGAGCCTAGAGGCCTGTGAGTGTATAACACATGCTTTCATGTTCAGAGTACTGGAAGAAAGGAGAAAGAGAATGGAGCTGAAAAAATATTCAAAAAAATTATGACTGAGAACTTTCCCAAATTAGAAAAAACTGGTAACATACATATTCAAGAAGCTATGCATATCCCAAACAGGATAAGGCCAGAGAAATCCATTACCATGTAAATCCGCTCTTAGTCTGAATGGCTTCCCTTTGTGGCTGACTCGACCTTCCTTTCTGGCTGCCCTTAACAATTTTTCCTTCATTTCAACCCTGGTGAATCTGACGATTATGTGTCTTGGGGTTGCTCTTCTCGAAGAGTATCTTTGTGGTGTTCTCTGTATTTCCTGACTTTGAATGTTGGCCTGTCTTGCTAGGTTGGGGCAGTTCTCCTGGATAATACACTGAAGAGTGTTTTCCAAATTGGTTCCATTCTCTCTGTCACTTTCAGGTACACCAATCAAACGCAGGTTTCGTCTTTTCACATAGTCCCATATTTCTTGGAGGCTTTCTTCATTCCCTTTCGTTCTTTTCTCTCTAATCTTGTCTTCACGCTTTATTTCATTAAGTTGATTTTCAGTCTCTGATATCCTTTCTTCCACTTGATTGATTTGGCTATTCATATTTGTGTATGCTTCACGAAGTTCTTGTGCTGTGTTTTTCAGCTCCATTAGGTCTTTTATGTTCTTCTATAAACTGGTTATTCTAGTTAGCAATTCCTCTAACCTTTTTTTAAGGTTCTTAGCTTCCTAGCACTGGATTAGAACATGCTCCTTTAGCTCAGAGGAGCTTGTTATTACCCACCTTGTAAAGCCTAGTTCTGTCAATCTGTCAAACTCATTCTCCATCCAATTTTGATTCCTTGCTGGCGAGGAGTTGTGATCCTTTGGAGGAGAAGAGGCATTCTGTTTTTTTGGACTATTCAGCCTTTTTGTGCTACTTTTTCCTCATCTTCGTGGATTTATCTACCTTTGGTCTTTGATGTTGGTGACCTTGAGGTGGGGTTTTCATGTGAACATCCTTTTTGTTGATGTTGATTCTATTCTTGTTTGCTAGTTTTCCTTCTAACAGTTAGGCCTCTCTGCTCCAGGTCTGCTGGAGTTTGCTAGAGGTCCACTCCCGACACTGTTTGCCTGGTTATCACCAGCAGAGACTGCAGAACAGTGAAGATTGCTGCCCATTTCTTCCTCTGGAAGCTTCGTCCCAGAGGGCCACCCACCAGGTCCCAGCCAGAGCTCTCCTGTATGAGGTGTTTGTTGAACCCTGCTGGGAGGTGTCTCCCATTCAGGAGGCATGGGAATAAGGTACCCTCTTGAGGCAGTTTGTCCCTTAGCAGACCTCAAGTGCTGTGCTGGGAGATCTGCCGCTCTCTTCAGAGCTGGCAGGTTGGAATGTTTAAGTCCGCTGAATCTGTGCCCACAGCCGCACCTTTTCCCAGGTGCTCTGTCCCAGGGAGATGGGAATTTTATCTATAAGCCCCTGATGGGGCTGCTGCTGCCTTTCTTTCAGAGATGCTCTGCCCAGACAGGAGGAATCTAGAGAGTCAGTCTGGCTACAGCGGCTTTGCCAAGCTGTGGTGGGCTCCACCCAGTTAGAACTTCCTGGTGGCTTTGTTTACACTTTGAGGGGAAAACTGCCTACTCAAGCCTCAGTAATGGTGGACGCCCTTCTCACCACCAAACTCAAGTGTCCCAGGTTGACTTCAGACTGCTGTGCTGGCAGCAAGAATTTCAAGCCAGTGGATCTTATCTTGCTGGGCTACATGGCAATGGGATCCACTGAGCTAGACCACTTGGCTCTCTGGCTTTGGCCCCCTTTCCAGGGGAGTGAAGGGTTCTATCTTATTGGCATTCTAGAAAGAAAACTAACACCAATGCTAGAAGGGAAATTGTGGCACTAAATGCTTACATTAGAAAACAAGAGAGGTTTCAAATCAATAGCCTAAGTTCCTGTGTCAAGCAACTAGACAAATAAGAGCAAAATATACCAAAAACAAGCAAAGAAGGGAAGTGATAAAGATAAAAATGGAAACTTATCATTTTTGTGGTGAAACCATTAAAAAGTCATTCTTTCAGCAAGTTTAAAACAGAAATCAATGAAACTGAAAACAGAAAAACGATAGCAAAGACCAATGAAACTAAAATCTGCTTATTTGAAAAAGTCAATTAAAATTGATAAACCTCTAAGAAGATTGATAAAGAAGAAAAACAGAAGACACTAATTATTAATATCAGGAATTAAATAGGGAATAGCAATGCAGACCCTGAAGCCATCAAAAGGATAAAATACTATGAACAATATGAACAACTATACATGCATAGATTTGACAACTTAGAAGAAATGGACTACTTCTTTGAAAAACACAAGATACCATAACTCAACCAATATAAAACAAATCATTTGAAGAGCGCTTTGACTATTAAAGAATCGAATTTAGTTTTTTCTAAAATTTCCCTAAAACAAATCTCCAGGCCTAGATATTTTCACTGGAGAATTCTATCAAATGTTAAAAAAGAATTAACAGCAAGTATTCAGACTCTTCTAGAAAATAGAAATGAAAGAAACACTTCCTAACTCATTTTATGAAGTTTGTATTACCCTGATACCAAAACCAAAGAGTACCAAAAAAAAAAAAAAAAAAAAAAAAGAAATAAAACTACAGACCTACAAACCAATGTCTCTCATGAACTTAGATGCAAAGATCCTCAGAAAGAGTTTTCAAAAAAAAAAAAAAAAAAAATAGACCTCCAATGCACTTTGGATGGACATCCCACTACTGGAGATAATATCAAAGATGTCTCCAAGATTCAAGTTTTGAGGAGCATATGTGTTCCCCAAACTGCCATCTATAATACAAAGTGTTTGCCACTAAAAATATTTTATTTAATTTTCATAAACATGATACCAGCTTCAATACTTTGATGATCAACAAAGACCTGAGACCAAATATCAAACTTAGAAATTGGCGTCACCAGACAAAACTAGATTATCTTTAGGTTCATTTGTTGGAAAAATGCGTACTCTTCTTTTTAGTCATATTTCCCTAGCATCTATCTGATTCTGTTGTTAACTTTTGTTGTTGTTGTTGTTTGTTTGTTTTTGAGACGAAGTCTTGCTTTGCTGCCCAGGATGGAGTGCAGTGGCACTATCTCAGCTCACTGCAACATCCATCTCCTGTGTCAAGCAATTCTCTTGATTCAGACTCCTGAGTAGCTGGGATTACAGGAACATGCCACCATGCCCAGCTTATTTTTGTATTTTTAGTACACATGGGGTTTTACCATGTTGACCAGGATGGTCTCAAACTCCTGACATCAAGTGATCTGCCCACCTCAGCCTCCCAAGCTGCTGAAATTACTGGCATGAGCCACCACGACCATTCCTTAGCCCTATCTTGATCTGTGATCTCTCCTTTTCTCATGGGGAATTTACTGTTCCAGTGATCTCTAGTCTTCCACAATTCAAGAAAAGTTAGGAACGGGCCTTTCCATCTCTCCTTGCCAATGATGAGGTAGGGTAGGTGTGGTAGGGGAAAGGGTGGAATGGAGAAGAGGAAGGTAAAAATTATGAGATAGAGTCAGATTGTACTAAAGCACTGAGGAGTGAATAAGAGCATTCCACAGAAGGAAGTAATATTTCCAGAATGTTTTCCTGAATGCTAGTCATTCAATATAATTTTTGGTGATCTGACTAAACTTTAATATAACCCTTGTCTAATCAAAGAATCCTCAACTCTTAGGAAACAGGATTTTAATTGGGAACTTTCTGTTCTTAATTAAGGGAAGCAACCTAGGGAGCTGTTTGTTAGTGTTGATTTCACACATCCATTCTTGACCTGATCTCACCTGCAGAATATAGCGAATTTGCTGTTTTGTAAACTCTGACAATCCTTTAGGAATCAATGATTCAATGTCTTCTGACTGTAAGAAAGAAAAAAAAAAAAAGCCTTGTCCATGGAACAGATAAACATCAATCATAAGATCAGCAATCCACAGACTCCTGTGTAATGGGACATATTTTAGGAATACTAAAAGATTAATTCACTTTTTGAGAAACAGTTTCTATGAGCTTCCTTTTGCCTTATCAGTTTTTACATTAAAAAATCTATTATATTACAAACAGTATAAAAATAATCCTGAATTCCATGCATTTTGAGGAAAAGTTTTGGGCAACCAATGAGAAGTTCCATTTCTATTCATAAAAAGACAAAATTAAAACAAAAGCAAAATGGCCTACTAAATACCTTTGCACACTTTATTCACTTTATTCATTGTATATTTTTAAAAACTGGAAGTTTTGTTGGGTGGTAGGTATGACATTTTTAAAGCTGATTTTTGAAATAATGAAAACTTTGGGATATAAAATAAAAATTAATGATGTTACAGATTTTACTGAGAATTTATATAGAGCTCTAATGACTTGAAAGATTATGATGTTGCTACAACACTGAAAAGCTTCAACTAATTATAAGTGGGGAACTGAAGTACTTTTTTAAGGTAATTTAGGAATTACTGAATAATTGTAATGAATGCAGTATACCAGTAACTGGGAAAAAAAAAAAAAAGAAAAAACGATTAAAAGCACAAAAGAGGCCATTGTGCTTTTTATTGCATAGAAATAAGTTTTTCTCTATTTGATTATTCTATTAAAAGCAATTATTAAGATAATATGCATATGTACTAGATTAATACTTGAAAATATTTTTACTTTAAGTTGCTGACTAGCACAGTACATACAAGGCTTTGAAGAATATCAAAACTAAATTTGCTATTTAATCAATTATATAGATTTCAGTTTTCTAAAGCAGAGAATATGTGGTCAGTGAAATATCTCTTGTACCCCATAAATAAATACACCTACTATGTACACACAAAAATTAAAAATAGAACATTTCAAACAAACATTTCAATAAGCATAGACAAATTAAATTATAAACTGACAGCTGATAAAACTTTTTATGACTGATTATTAGTTTTGTAGCCATTATAAGTATGTAAGTGTTTATATAATTTTAAAGGCAAAGTGGCCATCATTTCTTTCACTTACCTGCATTTTCAGTCTGGCAAAAGTACTTAACTAAAAGAATATTATTGCAAATAACAGAATCTACTTTGTTATTATACTATATTTGATTTTCAGGTAGTTTTGCACTTTTTGCACTTACCTCATCTGTCGACTCAAAGTCCTGTTTGCTGCAAGAACAAATAAAAAAGATAGACATCTTTAGAAAAGTGCATTCACTGATCATATATAAATGCTAGTTTTCTATTTTTATCTTACTTTTTGAAATATAAGAGCACTTATTCAGTTTATAAGCACAAGTGAAAATGTTAAAACTAAAATGGTACTTTTATTTAGTTTGACTAAAATAATTTTTCTGGAATTCCCAGATCTATTAAAAATGAACATCTGAATAACAAAACAATAAAATATGCAGAAATGGTTAGTGCCATCCATTAGCACTAGTTTAATTGTAGCTGGATTAGAAGTTCTCAGTGCTTGGCAATAAATGCTACTTGGGTGAATAAATAACGAAAATAGCATTTATCTCTCTATTTCCACCTTCCTTTTCTCCTTGTATCTTTCAGTGCTGATTCCATCTTCTCTCCATAGTGTTTTCAAGTTCTTCATACCCTCTTTAACAAAATCAAAACTTGCAAGACAAGTCTGAATAACTTATTTAATCTATACTAGAATATATTTAGCAATGATGAGGCTTGAAGGATATTTGAATCTTTACGTAGGGACAAAGCATTAAGCAAAATGATCAAAATTCTATTAGGGTAATAGAATTTCTAGCATCATAATGAGGATTTGGTCACAGGGGTTGAAAGACCCTTTGTGGAGCTGTGTTAGGTAGGAAAATGCTGCAGGAAAATTGTTACTGGTTATACCACACTGGCACTTACTCCTTTGGGAATGTTGAAAACTGGAAAGGATACACTTACAGTGTTGTCTGAGGCAAGACACAGGCCTTCATTTTTGCCAACTTGTTCCTGCTCTACTTGATGGAAGAATTAGGCCCAAAATATATATGATAAACATACTTCTCAAACAACTAAATAAACAAAAAACAGTAAACATGGGTTTTGACAGAAGACAGAATATTTATTTTATTTTGAAGTCATTAACTTGTCTTTATTGCCTAATAGAATTTTATCATGAAAACATTCCAAGATTGATTGATCTATTCACTTTTGAAACTTTTGTTTTAGGTTGAGGGGTACATATACAGGTCTGTTACACAGGTAAGTTGCATTTTGTGGTGGTTTGGTGTACAAATTATTTCACCACTGAGGTAATAAGCACAGTACCCAATAGGTAGTTTCTTTACCCTCATCCTCCTCCCACCCTCCACCCTCAAGTAGGCTCCAGTGTCTGATGTTCCATTCTTTGTGTCTATATGTACTCAATGTTTACCTCCCATTTATAAATGAGAACATACAGCATTTGGCTTTCTGTTCCCGAATTTGTTTGCTAGGAATGATGGCCCCCAGCTCCTTCCAGGACTCTGCAAACGATATGATCTCATTCTTTTATGTGGCTATGTACTATTAGATGGTGTAGATGTACCGCATTTCTTTTATCTAGTCTACAATCATTGGGCATATAGGTTAATTCCATGTCATTGCTATTGTGAATAGTGCTGCAGTGAACATAGCTGTGCAAGTGTCTTTATGCTACAACAATTTATATCCCTTTGGGTATTGGTTGAAACAGTTTGGCAATTAGTCCAAGAACTTAAAACAGAATCAGCATTTGATTCAGTGGTATTGCTAGGTCAAATGCTGGTTCTGTTTTAAGTTCTTGGACAAATTGCCAAACTGCTTTCCACAATGGCTAACCTAGTTTAGATACCCACCAGCAGTGCATAAGCATTCCCTTTTCTCCACAACTATGCCAGCATCTGTGATTTTTTGACTTTTTAATAACAGCCATTCTGACTGCTGTGAGAAGGTATTTCATTATGGTTTTGATTTGCATTTCTCTAATGTTCAGTGATGTTGAGGGTTTTTCATATGCTTGTCAGTCATGTATGTCTTCTTTTGAAAAGTGTCTGTTCATGTCATTTGCCCACTTTTTAATGAGGTTGTTTTTTGCTTGTAAATTGTCAAAAAGAAGTGTGGTAATTTCTCAAAGACCAAAGACAGAGATACCATTTGACCCAGCAATCCCATTCCTGGTTTTATACCCAAAGGAATATCAATAATTTCATTGTAAAGGCACATGCATGCATATGTTCATTGCAGCACTATTTACAATAGCAAAGACGTGGAATCAACCTAAATGCCCATCAGTGATAGACTGGATAAAGAAAATGTGGTACATATACACCATGGAATAGTATGCACCCATAAAAAAGAACAAGAGCATGTCCTTTGAAGGGACATGGATGGAGCTGGAGACCATTATTCTTAGCAAACTAACACAGGAATAGAAAACCAAATACTGCATGTTCTCACTTATAAGTGGTAGCTAAATGATGAGAACACATGGACACATAGAGGAGAACAACACATACTGGGGCCTATTGGGAGTGGAGGGTGGGAGGAGGGAGAGGATCAGGAAAAATAACTAATGGGTACTAGGTTTAATACCTAGGTAATGAAATAATCTGTATAACAAAACCCCATGACACAAGTTTACCTATGTAACAAACCTGTACTTGTACCCCTGAACTTTAAAAAATCTTTAAGTTTCTTATAGATTCTGTATATTACACCTGTGATAGATACATGGTTTGCAAATATTTTCTTCTCTTATTCCATAGATTGTCTTTTAAGTCTGTTGATAATTTATTTTGCTGTGCAGAAGCTCTTTAGCTCAATTATGTCACATTTGTCTGTTTTTGTTTTTGTTGTAATTGCTTTTCGCATATCTGTTATGAAGTCTTTGTCAGGTCTTATGTCTAGAATAATATTTCCTAGGTTATCTTCCAGAGTTTTTATTGATTTTTATTTCAGGTTTAAATATTTAATACATCTTGAGTTAATTTTTGTATGTAGTATAAGGAGAGTTCCACTTTCAATCTTCTGCATAGGGGTAGCCATTTTTTATCCCAGCACCATTTACTGAATAGGGAGTCCTTTCCCCATTGCATATTTTTGTAGCTTTTGTTAAAGGTCAGATAGTTGTAGATGTGTGGCGTTATTTCTGGGATCTCTATTCTGTTCCATGGGTCTATGAGTCTGTTTTTGGAGCAAACCCATGCTGTTTTGGTTACTGTTGTCTTGTAGTAGAGTTTTAAGTTGGGTAATCTGATGTCTTCATCTTTGTTCTCTTTGCTTAGGATTGTCTTGCTATTCCAGTCTTTTATGGTTTCATATGAATTTCAAAATAGTTTTCTTTAATTCTGTGAAGAATGACATTGCTAGCTTGATAGGAATAGCATTGAATCTGTAAATGGATTTGGGCAGTATTGCCATTTTGACAATACTGATTAATCCTCTCCATTAGCATGGAATGTTTTTCCATTTCTTGGTGTCATCTCTGATTTCTTTGAGCAGTGTTTTGTAATTCTCATTGTAGAGGTCTTTTACTTCCTGCGTTGGCTGTATTCCTATGTATTTTATTCTTTTTGAGGCAAGCATGAATAAGATTGTGTTCCTGATTTGGATCTCAGATTGGATATTGTTGGTGAATCAAAATGTAATTCATTGTTGTACATTAATTTTATATCCTAAAACTTTAAGTGGTGTATCAAATCAAGGAGATTTTGGGTGGAAACTATGGGGTTTTCTAGGTATAGAATCATATTTTCTGCAAAAAAGGGATAGTTTGACTTCCTTTCTTCCTGCTCAAATGCCCTTTATTTTTTTCTCTTACCTGATTGCTCTGGCTGGGACTTCCAGGGCGATGTTGTATAGAAGTGGTGAGAGAGAACATTCTTATCTTGTTCTGGTGTGGAGAAGAATGTTTCTATCTTTTTCCAAATTAGTATGATGTTGCCTATGTGCTTGTTAGAGATGGCTCTTATTATTTTGAAGTTTGTTTCTTTAATTCCTAGTTTCTTGAGAGGTTTTAACATGAAAGGATCTTAAATTTCATCAAAAAACCTTTTCTGTATCTATTGAGTGACCATGTGGTTTTTGTTTTCAGTTCTATACATATGGTAAATAGCATTTATTGATTTGCATATGTTAAATCAACCTTGCCTCCCAGGAATAAAGCCTACTTGATTGTGGTGTGGATTAGCTTTTTGATATGCTATTTAATTTGGTTTGATAGTATTTTATTGGGGATTTTTTCATCAATGTTCATCAAGGATATTGGTCTTAAGTTTTATTTTTTTGTTGTGTTCATGCCAGGTTTTGGTATCAGGATGATGCCGGCCTCATAGAATGAGTTAGAAAGGAGTCCTTCTTTCTCATTTTTTTTTTTTTTCAGAATTGTTTCAGTAGAAATGATACCAACTCTTCCTGATACATTTGGTAGAATTTGGCTGTGAAGCCATCTAGTTTTGGGCTTTTTCTATTTGCTAGGCTATTTATTACTGACTCAGTTTTGGACCTCATTATTGGGCTGCTCAAGGATTCAGTCTCTTCCTGGTTCAATCTTCAGAAACTGTATATTTCCAGGAATGTATTTCTTACAGGTTTTCTAGCTTGCGTGCATAGGGTGCTTGTAATAGTCTCTGAGGGATTTTTGTATTTCAATCCCCTTTTCATTTCTGATTGCATTTATTTGTATCTTCTCACTTTTTCTCTTTATTAGTCTAGCTAAAGGTTTATCATTCCCATTAATTCTTTCAAGAAACCAGCTTCTGGGTTCATTGATCTTTTGTATGGTTTTTCATGTCTCAGTTTCCTTCAGTTCAGCTTGAATTTGCTTATTTCTTGTCTTCTGTCGACTTTGGGGTTAGTTTGCTCTTGTTTCTGTAGCTCCTCTGGTTGTGGTTTGGGGTTGTTAATTTGAGATCTTTCTAACTTTTTGATATGGGAGGTTAGCACTGTAAACTTCCCTCTTAACACTGCTTTGTCTATATCCCAGAGATTCTGATATGTTGTATTTTTGTTGTCATTAGTTTCAAAAAAATTTCTTGTTATCTTTGTTTTTATTAGCTTCAAATTTTTTCTTGATTTCTGCCTTAATTTCATCATTTACCCAGAAGTCATTCAGGAGCAGGTTGTTTCATTTCCATTTAATTATGTGGTTTTGTGTGATTTTCTTAGCATCAATTTCTATTATTATT